CAGAGCCGGAGCTGCGGTTCAGGCCGCCGGGCGAGGCCCCCGTGCGCCTCTTCACCGAGCCCGAGCTGGCCAGATACGCCGGGCAGCAGGTAGGGCCGGCCGGCCGGCACTCGGGCCCCCCCGGCCTCCCCCGGCCGGTTCTTTAAAGCCGCGGGGCCGGGGCCGGGGCGTCGCTTCCGTCCCTGCCGCCCAGCAGCGAGGGGGGAACGTGCTTCGGAGGCAGTGGCGGGAAGTTGGCTGGCAGCCGTGCGTTGCTCGCCCGCTGAGCTGGTCCGCCGGCAGCTGCTGGGTTCGGCCGCGGAAGCTGCGCACAGGCAATCAGATGGCGCGTTCCTATTTTATTCGTTGCCTGCCTGACAAGGTACTCATGCCAGTGAATTTCAGATGGCCGTAAGTTGGAGCCAGAGTAATTTTCTCTCAATAATTCACTAAACCACATATTTAAACCCTTTTTTTCCCCCTACGAGATTATAGAAATAATAAAGCAATTAAGCATTTTTAGCTTTCTGTGATGCAGAAAACTCTGCAGAACTTCACATTCGAAATTATAAAGTCCCATAGTGATACACATCCGCCTTCTCTTTTGAAAAACTTTCTGGCTGACCTTCTCAGGGTCTTCTGTAGATACTTTCAAGATACTAACCAGCATCTGACTAAAAATATATCTTCCACATAAAAGACAAAGTAGAAGCACTGGCTTATTAAGTAAAACAGACGTCAGCAGATCAGATTTGGGCGTGTTTATGTATTTATCTGTTGTTCTCTTAATCAAATAAAGAATGCTGTTGGCCATGCACCCTTTTATCTTGTGCAATATCCATCTGCATTAGGAATAGAAAGATGCAGCTGATCATCTTCGAGCAGACAAGGGTATGGACAAGCGGTGACTTGCAAAAGGGACGTGTCTTCTGTGATTGTGATGTTTAGATTAAGAAGATTCTCTCATTTCATATGCTTAAATCCTAAAAAAAAAAAAAGTATAAATCTTGGACAGTTTAAAGCACAAGTGAGAAATTTCAAGAGAGAACATGCATGCTTGTATACACACACAAACAAGAGACCACCTACAATGGAGAATTTAATT